AGAGGCTCAGGGGCGGTGAGAGGCTTCACCAGAGACAGAGTGGGGAGCAGAACAGGCAGATCGACGAAGTACACTGCTGAGGGGAGCAGCGGGAGGTCAGGAGAGGTCTGCCGCGCCACGTGGATCTCCTCTGGGGCAGGCGGGAATCGAACTCATACGGAAGTGGCTTCAGATTCTCAGTGCTGTGCTTTAACCCGCTGCGCCACCAGGGAGGGCCAAGTCGTTATTATTTAATCGTTCATTCATTAAGTACACATTTTACTGTTCACTGTGTGCCAGCTGCTAGGTCTTGTCTTTGGGATACATGGGGTTAACAGAGATAAACAAATATGTAATAAGGCTAAATGGGTATCTGGTGGTAGCTGAAACCAAGTTGGTGAGATCACCCAGCTCTGTGTAGACTAGAAAGAGAAGAGAAAACACAAGAAGCCATGGTAATAGCACTCAGAGAGAGGACCCAAGAGAGGACAGCAAAAGGAATGGAGAGATGGGTAAGAGAACCAACAGATCTTACAATTATAAAAGTTCAAGAAAAAAGTTCAAAGAAGTGGAAGGACTGTCAAATTCTGTGGAAAACTCAAGATAAACTTTTGGTAAGAGGCCACATGCGACCACAAGATGAGCAGTTTTAGCTTTGTCTCTGGTGTTGTAAGTCTGACACATTATGCTTGCTGCTCAATAGTGTAATAGTTTCAGTTCTGCCAGTGCTTGAGAACTACTATACAACAATGAGAATATAGTTAACACTGATGAACTGAACACTAAAAATAGTTGCAGGTAAATTTTTGTATTTAAAATTTTTACCACCACTTAAACTTGTTTAAAATTTTAAAAATTCAATAGACACTTTCACCAAAACAGAGCTTTGTCAGCTGGTATTACTTCTCTGGTATTCTTCCTATCAAGTACAGTGGAAAACTCTAGACATCTATGCAACCAAAGAGAAGACCATCCTGCAATGGAGTCATGGGCATTGAACCAGGACTAGAGGAGATCAAGGGAGCACAGAACCCCAGGAGCAGCCCCTATAACCCTTCTTTGGGCTCATTAATTTGCTAAAATGGCTCACAGAACACAAACAATATTTACTTGCATTTATCGGTTTATTTTTAAAGATATAATAAAGGGGCCCTCCCTGGTGGTGCAGTGGGTTAAAGCACAGCACTAAGAAGCTAAAGCCACTACAGCATGAGTTTGACCTCTGCCCCGGAGGTGACCACATGGTGCGGCAGACCTCTCTTGACACACTCGCTGCTCCCCTCAGCAGTGTACTTCATCAGTCAGCCTGTTCTGTTCCCACTCTGTCTCTGGTGAATCCTCTCACCGCCCCTGCATCTCTGGCCTGCATGCATAAATAAAAATAAATCTTTTTTTAAAAAAGATATAATAGGCCCTTCCTGGTGGCGCAGCGGGTTAAAACACAGTACTGAGAATCTGAAGCCACTTCCGCATGAGTTCGATTCCCGCCTGCAGCCTGCCCCGGAGGAGACCACATGGCGAGCCAGACCTCTCCTGACCCGCCCGCTGCTCCCCTCAGCAGTGTACTTCGTCGATCTGCCTGTTCTGCTCCCCACTCTGTCTCTGGTGAAGCCTCTCACCGCCCCTGAGCCTCTGGCCTGTACCCCAGTTCTGTATGCACAAATAAATAAATAAATCTTAAAAAAAAAAAAGATATAATAAAGGATAGTTTATGAATATTCCAAAGGAAGAGGTTTATGGGGTGTGGTATGGGGAAGGGACTTGGGGTTTCTATACCCTGTGGAGCAGCACCCCTCTCCTCACTGGTTTGGCAAACTGGAAGTTCTCAAACCCAGTACATTTTGAGTTTTTGTGGAGGCTTCACCAGGTAGGCAGGACTGAGGGGGGTCTGTAAAGCTCCAAGCTTCTAATCCTGACTTGGTCTTTCTGTTGACTTGTCTCCATCATGAAGTCATCAGGCAGTCCTCCCAGAGTCACCCATCACCCAGAAAATTCCAAGGGGGTTAGGAGCTCTGTATTGGGAACTGGATGAAAGACCAACTATGAGAACAAAAGATGTTCCTAAGGTTCTTATCTCTTAGGAAATCACCAGGGTCTTAGGAGTTCTTTGCTAGGAACTGGGGCTAACAGCCAGTATTGAAATTTTCTGTTACTTCACAGGAGAATTTAGCAGTTTAGTTATAAATAAATTATGAGCTTAAAGTAGAAAATTGTAGCCAGAAATCTAATTTCAATTTCTTTTACTATTCAAACAACTCGGACCAAATGTTTTATAAAAGCTCAAATGTAAAAATTAGATAGTAAGTCTCCATTTAGCCAGCATCATTAAGAAACAAGATGATTTGACTAAGCATAATCCCTTCCAGCTCCATCCATGTTGCCGCAAATGGCATGAGTTTATTTCTTTTCTTGATTGCTGAATAATATTCCATAGTATATATGTACAACATCTTCTTAATCCAGTCACTTATTTTGGGGCATTTAAGTTGATTCCACATCTTTCCTATTCTAAATATTGCAACAATAAATGTAGGGGTGAAGGTATTCTTTTGAATTAATGTTTTTGTGTCTTTGGATATATTCTTAGGAGTGGAATTGAAATACAGCCACTTTTAACAACTAAATTGCATAAGCTTATATTTAAGTAAGTTCTAGTCTTAAAAGGTAATAAGTGCTCAAAATGCCTCACTTCTAATTATTTTACTACACTTTACTCTTTTGTGCACTTGAGATTATTTACATCAATTTTACCGAGGTAGTAGAAATACCATATGACAATAATTTTTATGTAAATGTTACCACAAAAATAGGCAGGTGCTAAAAATGTGGGTTTGATGATTTGTTTGAAGACAAGACAACAGGCACAAAATGGAGTTCTTTATGCTAAATCCACGTGAACAAACCGAGATTTAGTTTTAAACTCTCCAGAAATTGTATCTGATACCAGCCAATGAGAAATTGACTGTCTACATGAGGTCATCTGCCGACAGACCCTTTCATCCCTGAAAGGAAGGTAACCTGGCCATGATCAGCCCACTCTCTGCCACTTTAACTTCCTTGATTCTGTTCCCTTCTGCCTGTAGAAGTCTCCTTTTGTACTGCTCCTCAGGTTCCTTTCCCTCTGACAGATGGGATGCAACCTGATTCATGAGTCCTTGGTCAAAGCACATGGATCTTTAACATGCACTCAGTTCAGGGTGGTGCCTTTGCTGTTGTCTTCATGAGTGGTGGTGGTTAACATTTGCCAGCAGACCACTTCCCCTCCCCCAAAGGAACCATGTGACTCTGTAATGAAAACCCATTTAAATTCTATCATAGTAGTTCCCTTTTCAGAACAGGCTCTGAGACCAGACCTGAACCAAAAACATGGCCACTGAGGAAATTTCTTTTTCTTAGATGAGTTTTACCATGTCTGTAACATTGGCAACAGCTTCAGTACGTTTTTAGAAAAGTCATTCACAAGTCTGGCTAACCCTGTTTTCTTCATTAGCAAATACTAAGGTGAGTTGTCATTATTATGTATGAGAAGTCAAAGTGAGAGCACAGGGCCAGGAAGTTGTGACTTTGGAAAATCTGAATCCCTCTCATAAGAGGGAGTTGGGAGAATCTGAGTTGTTGTAGAGGGAAAAATCCTAAAACGAAAGCTAATGGGTGTTTTTTTCTGTGGGGGCATTAAAGCGGTGAGGGAGAGCCCCCACTATAGTCTGTGAGTCATTTCCGATGACAGTGCTTCCTGTTTGTCCCTGGTCTTTCCACAGGTAATTGTTGCGTCTCCACCTTCATGCTTTTACCTCCCCTCCCAGGTTGATTACCGCAGGCCTGGTGCTGGCTGAAAACATCAAGCACTTTGATGTTGAAAGCTGTTAAGGAACCAGAAATGACTTCTAAATTTGCAAACTTTCCAGTGGCTCTGAGCTATCTGATTAAACAAGCATATACAAGCTCCAGCCTAGCCTGGTCTAAATTCTTTCTCGTTCTTCCTCCCCTTCCCCCCTTCTCTCCCCTCTTCTGCCTTCTGCTTTCCCCTCTGCTCTCCAATCTCTTCCTCTACTCTCCTTTGTGTGTGTGTGTTGCTCTCAGTACTTTGAATGCATTTGACTGGGAAGTGGTATCACAGGGTGAGGAAGTAAGTCTGAGGATGAAATTCAAAGGCTCATACTGAACTAAATCTATCGAAAAATAAAACAAGCCAAAAAAAGGAATGAAAACACAAAACAAAGAAAAAGGAGTGAAACATTCCTTTGAAAGAGGAATCATGGGATTGAAACGTCTTAGCTTTGCTTACCCCTTTCCAAATAACATCAGAGCACCTACATCTGAGAACCGTAATGCCCAATGTGTTCTTAAGTGTTGGCTCAAGTAGCTGGAAAAGCTTGGCTTTGTTACACAGCAGCTGAGAGAGGGGTCCGGGTCCTCTGGCTGGCTGAGCTTGTATGAGCTGCTTAGCCTCCCTAAGCCTTTCTCCCTCAGCCACAGACACAGCACTCTGACTGTTCCGGCCAGTGCCATCTTGATTGGTCAATGACTATGCCATACCAACCTCTGAATTAAATCACCCTAGTTAAAGTAAACGGTGTAGGTGAAGAGCCCATCACAGAATCCACCCTCAGCATAGTACTTGATGTTCAATAAATTCTAGTTCCACCAATTCTTTTCCTACCTTCCCACTCCCAAACCTCATCATAGTTTTGCAAGGAAGTTAAAATGTTTTATTATGTTCCATTATGTGCATACAAGAAAATTTAGATGCAGGGCTGAGTGGACTGAGAAAATGACAGTGAGTCAGAAGCACCAGCACTTTATCCAGGTTCCCATGTCTGACTCAGAGCACTAAGAATAAAGCTGTAGACTTCTTGGTAATCAGTTAATAGCTTACAGTGAAAGGAGCATAAACTTTGCTATCAGAAAGACAATGGGTTCGGATTCTAGTCTTACCTTTTATGTTTCATATGAGAAATTTTCTTAACCTTTCTAAACCTCAGTTTTCCCATGTATAAGTTGGGACCAGTCTTCCTAAATGTTTAATTAGGATAATATATGTAAAAGAAGCTTAAAATTATAGTCTTTTTCAGTGTGGGTTAAGTCTCCAAAAACCAAAAATAAAACAATAGTGGCTAAGTTCTCCCCACATTATAACTCTTGCCCACTTTTTAGGAATTTACAAAGAAGATAATGAACACTGGCTTTGTGGCCCTTAGCACATCACCTGTGTCAGAATTCAGATTTGAAGAAAAGGTAAAGGACAGAATTTGTCTCCAATAGTTTAGGGTTTTGAAATAGTTTAGGAAATGCTATATTCTACAGCGCATAGGGGAAGGGACTCTGCCTCACCTGAGGTCCATGGAAAGGACTTCGGTAGGACCATGAGCAGCCTGTATTCAGCGTGGCATGTGTCTTCTGGAGTTGGGGATATGAGTGAGCGTAGGCAGTAGATAGATAGCCCTAAAGTGACAGAATAGAGGGAGAAAGACGGACCACCCATGGATGGTGGGACAGAAATACAAGCGTGTTTCCCACCATCTGCCTAGACATCTGCAGTTGACCTGAAGCTAATTGGAAGTCTATCTCTCTGTAGACATCTGCCATCACTGACTATGCTCGCTTAGCCTGAGAGAAGATGCCCAAACTAGTCAGTCAAATAAGAATCACTCCACCACAAGAACTGCAGTCAAAGACCTCCTGCAGAAGATCTTTGAAAACCCTACAATAGAGCCCTCCCTGGTGGTGCAGCAGGTTGTAGCTCTGCACTGAGAAGCTAAGCTGAGCCGTGGTGGCTTCAGTGCGAGTTCGATCCCCTTCCCAGAGGTGACCCACATGGCACAGGATGTCTCTCCTGACCTGCCTGCTGCTCCCTTCAGCAGTGTACTTCATTGACCTGCCTGTTCTGCTCCCCACTCTGTTTCTGGCGAATCCTCTTGCTGCCCCTGCACCTCTGACTGTGCCCCAGTTCTGTATGCATCAATAAATAAATCTTTTTTAAAAAGCAAACTATAATATCCCATGAAAAAAAAGTCAGCAATTGTTAATCTGTCCTTTCCAGTTCACAAGAGAAAATAAAATAGGCTGCAATCTGTACACACCTCCTTTGACAATGCAATGCTCTTTCATGGACCTGTTCTCATGATTACTTCTAACTCCAAATTCCTGCTTCTGCTAAGTTAGTTCAGTTCCTGGATTATCTGACCACCTATGAGTGTGACTCCATTCCTTACTACCTCAAAATCAGGCAAGGTTCAGTATCTTTTATAAATGTTTCACACAAAAAGCCCCACTACACAAAGCTGGGTAGAACATTCTGACGTACTGAAGGTTTTTGGAAGACACTGGGTTTTTTTTATTATACTGAAACAACACAAAGAGGCAACTGTTATTTTTTATCTTTCCAGAAAGCATTTCCATCCCCATTCTTCCAATAATAAACCACTCCCTTCTCCCTCCCCCACCCCACACCAAGCAAAAACAGAGTCATCTGGCCAGTGACGGACAATGGCAGGGCTCTATTTCACTGACTTTGATTAGTACAAGGACGGACATGTAACTCAAGCAGAGCTAATTAGACCATGTCCCTGAAATTGTTCTGTGTTTTATTGAGATCAAAAAATAGCTCTCTTTTTATAGTTACTAAGTTGGGTCTGGCAGAAACCATCTTTCCTATCACATAAAAAGGTCCTGTCTACAGTAGGATAGAGTGAAATCAACATGGAAACTGTTAAACAGAGATGAATAAGAGCGAGATCTGGTATTGCTGATAGAAGTTTCTATAAGTCTTCCTTAGATGCTACCAACTTTTGATCTTTTCAAACTGTGAACCACTATGAGTCCTTCTTTACTTTTTTGAGCTGGGTTTGGGTTTGTGCCACCTTCAAACAAAGTCTAATTATCAAGGTGAAAAACTTTCAATTACATGTTAGAAATTTCCAGCCTCAGATGACCTTTTCCAATTTTACTCCCAGGACTGCACGCTCCTAGTTTTATACTCTTTAATTCCGTCCCTCTTTTTCCTTGTTCTTCCCCTTTTTCTCTCTGTTCCTTCCTAGCATCCAAGCTAAATTCCTTATCTTTTGTATACTGAACAGCTCAGCAGCTATTGCCAGAAAAAAAAAGAATCTACATAGGACAACACCGTTAAAAAGCTTAAAGAAGTTATATGGCTTAGCCAGCACCCCTCCCAGAAAAAAGAGTTCTTAGTTGTGTTGGAGTTGCTAATCTTTGCCTGGGACCACTGACTACCAGATGAAAGAATAAACCTTTATGACTATTTCTATATAGAGATTTTTTAGGTTTGCGGAGGCAATGTTCAGCAGAATCTGTGGGCTTCAGTCTTTCAAGTGGTGTAAAACAGACCACCAGTTCTCAATTTTATCTTTTACTTAAATAAAACTGTACAATTGACTTCAAATGAAATAAAATAATGACAACAATAAATACATTAGTTTGGATCCACCAAAAAACAAGATGCCAAAGATTTACTGAGGAAGCAGTTAGAGAGGTATGGAAACTCTTGAGACCATAATATAGATATGATACTTTAAAAAAAAAAAAGGGTAAAAACGGAAAACTTGATTAGTGGAATCTTAGACTGCTGAGCATTTCCAAGTATGTTTCAGTTGAGCTGATGGGAGCCCAAGTCAAATGTACCCGTCAGAGGAGTCTGCATCTTGCAGATATTTGTATGACATCTAAGCATGCACCAGGAGCAGTCCATGAGACTATGACTTCTGTACCAAGACATGGTATTGTAGGTTCACAGCATGCTGCTGAAATCATTAATCAATTAATCAAGCGGAGCACTTTCATTATGATAACAACAACAACAAACCTCTTAAGTAGAAGCTGCTGTTGGCTATTTTCTATAACTTTCACTTCTTTCTTAGTACTGTGCTTTATATATATTTATATAGTATTTATTCATTTATATTTTACATCATTGTTTGTTTTTGTACACTGTTTACTTTCTTTTCTCAGGGTAGTCCTCATAGAATTTCCACCATTGGTTCACCCATGCACCATTACCAAATAGTCCCTTGTGCTCTTCTCTCCCTGTTTGATCCCTCTTGCTCCCCTTCCCCTGCAGAATGTCTCTGATTTATAGTTACCTGTTTATATTTTCGTTATTATATTTTCCCCCTTGATCCCTTATTTGGTACCCCTATATTCGTCTTATAAGTGAAACCATTGGATATTTTTCTTTCCTTCTAACTTATTTCACTGAGTATAAAGTACTGTGTCGATGAGATGAAATGGAAGATACATAACAAAACCAAGTGAAAGTTACAGAGTTGAAAACATCAAATAAGGCAATTCACTAACTAGGCTTAGTAGGTACAAAAGAAATGATCTGTGAAATATTGATGACATAGTAGAAGCCATCCAAACTGAAGAATGAAGAGGACAACTCTAAGAGAGAGAGAAATGGTGCCTCAGTGAAGTATAAAACAGTGTATACTCATTGCAGGGTTATAATATAAAGCAATCAGAGATACAAGAAGGCGAGACCAGAGAAATATTTCAGACTATCAAAATGAAAAAAAAGAAATTCAAAGACCCAAGAAGCTTAATGAACACCAAGAAAGATAAACATAAAAGCCACACCAAATGACATCATAACTATATTGCTGAAAATCAGTGATAAAAAGAAAATCTTAAAAGTAGCCAGAGGAAAAAAGGGAATATTGCATACAGGAGAAGAAATGTAAGAATTATTGTGGACCTCTTTTTTAAAAAAACATTGCAAGCCAAAAAATAAACAGCATCTTTTAAGTATTGAAAGAGAAAAAAAAACTAAATCCTAAATCTAGACTTTTTTATAGAAATATTACTTAGAAAAGACATC